CAGTCTGTTCCGACCTCTAGGCACCCCGCACGGTCTTCTCCACCCTCTAGGCATCCCCCCCCCATGGTCTGCTCCACCCGCTAGGCACCCGCACTGCGCTCCTCAGGTTCTGTTGGGTGAATGGGCTGAGCACAGACTGAAACATTCACAATCATTTCTGAGCAGCCAGAAAAGAGAAGCAACAGCCACGGAAAGTGATGAGCAAAAACCAAAGACAGGACAAGGAGCTCAGAACACTGAGGAGCCAACTGGGCGATCGCCCGACCTGACAATGTCCACACAGACACCAACACAGCGTCCACATTCACAATGCCAACATTCACCGGCGGTGTACACGGCGACAGCAGACGACGGCTGAGCGCAGAGTGACGGATGAGGGACGGCCACCGATTGGGGTGAGAGCTGATGAGCGAAGAATGACGGCAAGGAAGAGATCGGCAGAATGACACCTGACAGAGATCGGCCTTCAATGTTCTCACCGAGCGGAGGAATCTGCGGCACTCTCCCACCCGTCAACACACTGAAGGATTGAACGCTGATTCACCTCCGGTGAAAAGAACGAGACACAAGGTGCCGAACAGAAGAGGAAACGTTCAGTGAATGACCCGCGTCAGAGAGACAGGAAGTCAGACGTCACCCAACGTCCTCCCCGCACATGATAAAGCACAGAGGGGGCCCAACACAAAGATGGAGGAGGGCGCCAGTCACTGTACCTGCAATAATATCTGACCACACCTCCTCTACCTGACCACCCCCCCTCTACCTGACCACACCCCATCTATCTGACCACTCCCCCCTCTACCGGACCACACACCCCTACCAAACCACACCCCTTCTACCTGACCACACCCCATCTATCTGACCATGCCACCTCTACCAAACCACACCCCCTCTACATGACCACACCTCCTCTACCTGACCACAGCCCCTCTACATGACCACACCCCATCTATCTGACCACGCCACCTCTACCAAACCACACCCCCTCTACATGACCACACCTCCTCTACCTGACCACACCCCCTCTACCTGACTACACCCCCTCTCCACCTGACCACATCCCCACTATCTGACCACGCCCCTCCCCCCTGCTACCTGACCACACCCCTCTCTACCTGCTCACAGCACTCACCTCTCACTGTACCTGCAATATATGGCCCCACCTCCTTAATGTATCTGAAATATCTGACCACACCCCTCCCACCTGTCACTGAAATATTTGACCACACCCCTCCCACCTGTCACTGAAATATTTGACCACACCCCTCTCACACCTTTACAGTCCATCTTTTAGCATTATAAAAGCATGATGATTATAAATAGGAATTCAAAAACC